AAAAAAGAGCTCAACGACTCGTTGCAAAGCTTGGGAATACACATTGAGGATCAAGAACTTGATCATATGATTGAAAAAATAGACGTAAATGGAGATGGATATATCGATGTAGATGAATTCGGGACATTGTATAAGTCAATCATGGACGAGAAGGACGAAGAGGAGGATATGAGAGAAGCGTTCAACGTGTTTGATCAAAATGGTGATGGATATATAACCGTGGAAGAATTAAGGTCCGTTTTGGGATCATTAGGGTTGAAACAAGGTAAAACATTGGAAGATTGTAAGAGAATGATCATGAAAGTCGACGTGGATGGTGATGGAATGGTTGATTTTAAAGAATTTAGACAAATGATGAAAGGGGGTGGATTTTCATTAACATGAAATTTATTAGATCAAAAAAAAAGAAAAGGGTATATACTTGTGTATATATATATCCTTTTTTTGTATGTGGCCCTTTGAAAGAAGCAACACATGTCATATTTCTTTAATCTTGGTTCATTTACTTGTGTTTTTTTAAAAAAAATAATAATACAATATTTCATTCAAATTAGCTTAAACTTTTAGAAAAGGAAATTGAAGTTATATTCAGAATAACTCGCTAACAAATATCATTTAATTAAGATGCACATGTTATATCTTTATGCGCTAAATTTAGTGTACCTAGCAACTAGTATAAGCAAATTATGTGTAAAAGATTAATAAAAATAGTAGTCACTACGTTGTAGTTTCAAATTTTACAGGTGAAACACCATAACAATTTCTTAGTAATTTACGCATGGAATTTAAAGTTTCGCGATAATAACTATTTATCAATTACATAAGCTAAAAAGGTGGCTATTTGTGAAAAGATTCACAAGTGATGGTTTGGGCCTTCAAAGAAGACCATACTAGCCCAAGTCCATCAGCTAAGTATCCAATTTAGACCCATTTAGCTATTCCCGGAGACTGACTAGTTCCCCGTCGGCCACCAGATAGTCTGAAAAATGCTCTGGCGAGGTTTCTTCTTTCCGGCGACGCTCTGCAAATCACGGCAGCTACAACATCTCGTCTGCTGCCGATTCATCTTCGAACCCGTTTTACCCCATTCCGTTCCCCAGCAAACCAGGTACTATTTCTTCAAATTATGATATTTTGTTTCTGCAAAAATCATGCATTTACACTGATAACTGTTTATTTTGAAGTGATTGTGCTAATCTCATGATATATTAGTCTCTTGAATGCAGTATGCAAGGTTTTTGAGAGAGGAGTTACTGTTGGGCCACGCTTAGTCGTACAAAAATGGGATTTTGGATTGATAAATTCGGGCCGGTATTACTGTACGGCTGGAAAAGCTGGGGAAACGTCGAACGGCGGTGGGAATGATGCTGTTGCAGAGAGTTCCGGTGAGTTTAAAGAAGATAAAATCAAGAGGAAGAAACTGAAGGGTAAAAGACAGGTTGTGAAGTGGTTGAAGTTCTTCAGGTGGAAGAAGAAGAAAGAGTTCCAAAGAATGACAGCTGAAGAAAGAATACTTTTCAAATTGAGGAAGGTAATGTTTTTCTTGTAGCATGTTATTTAGTTTAGTGGAAGTTCTGTAGGATGATGTTTGAAGTAAACCTGTACCTATGCTGGTGAGAGGTCACAGGTACTCCTGGAATTAGTCGAGGTCTGCGTAAACTCGCCTGACTCCACCGTAGTAAAGATAAAAAGATGATTCTTGAACTTTGAACTACTTATGCTGCACGGTATCTCTTGAAATTGTCTTAGCTTGTTTATTTCATTCGAATGAATCAATAAGCAATACCTCAATCGCAACCTAATTAAGGTCGGATAGTTGAATCTTCTATATCTATTTCACTGTATCCGGCATCATTTCATTCCAATACTCATAATATCCCCTGCATTGATATTCAAGTCTATAGGTTGCCTAAGAAGAATGTCTTAACAAATATGGATCTAATGTAAGTGTAAGAACAAATAAGTCTTGATCCCAACTAGTTGGTATCTTTTATATATATCTTTTGGTTATAATTTTTCCTGTTTTCAGTTAATTATGCATTCTTCCTAGCAATTGTGAGTCTTTTTGTTTATATACTTCATTATAAATATAGTTTATGGGAAAGGAGGACTAGTTCTCTAGATATGCTTGTTCTAGCTTTTGTTTCCTGAAAGGATTACTCTTTGCCATTTCTGAACATAGAAATTATGTGTTCCTAATATATGACTTTCTTGAGGTTGAATAATTTAATGGACTTTCGGTGTCAATCTAGTCATGTCAAAAGGATATCTCAGTTGTTCTGGTTCTGTTGTCATTTGTAAATCTAGAACTGTTTTTGTGGTGAGTTGTGATGTAAGTTTCTTCACTAATTTACTTGCCACTAGATGCTAAAGAATAAATTGCTCTTTAGATAATTACTTTATGGCAATTCGTGATCCAAGACAATTATGGATGGGGTTGCTCCACCTACTTTATGTCACTGTCAAATACAATTGAAGTATTTAGGGATTGCAATTTTTCATCTTTCTAGGCACGGAAGAAAGAGGAGAGGCTTGTTGAAGCTCTTAGGAAGGTTGAGCCTAAGGAGATACCGGAGGCTACTCATGACCCAGAAATATTGACACCAGAAGAACACTTCTACTTCCTGAAAATGGGGGAGAAGTGCAAGAATTATGTACCAGTTGGAAGACGTGGGATATACCAGGGTGTGATCCTTAATATGCACTTGCATTGGAAGAAGCACCAAACTCTGAAAGTGGTGGTGAAAACCTTCTCTCCTGAGGAGGTTAAGGAAATAGCTGTAGAGCTTGCAAGATTAAGTGGTGGAATCGTTCTTGATATCCAGGATGATGACACCATTATAATGTACAGGGGAAAGAATTATTCTCAACCACCAACTGAGATAATGTCTCCAAGAAGTACTCTTTCCAGGAAAAAGGTTCTCTTACTGTCTGCTAATTTTTGGGTATGCTATAATGTGGATCCCCACTTTTTCGCGCTCTTATTTTTGTTATTGCTCCTTTACACAGGCCTTAGATAAATCTAAATACAGAGATTCCTTAAGAGCTGTTGAGAGATACATTCCACGGCTGGAGCAAGATCTTGAGCTGCTTCGGTTGCAAGCTGAAAATAAAACTGATGCTCCTGACAAAAATCAAGAGGCTGGCTTTGAGAAATTTCAGCCTGAACACCGTTCAGATCAGCAAATTGAGGCATCTGATAAGCTCAAAAGGATAATGATTGAAAATGAAGAACAGAGTGAAGAAAATGATTCCATGGTAGATACAGATATATGCTCAGATTCTGAAGATCTTTCAGATATTTTTGAAACAGACTCTGAGGAAGAGCATGAAGAGAAGGCTGAAGAACCACTTTATTTGGATGTGTTTGAAAAGTTTCCAGTGCAAAGTAATGGAGATGCACAGGATTTCGAGGAGCATTTGCGTCAAATATCTTCTAACTCGAGGAAAGAGAAATCACCAGGTAAAGATGTCGACACACCAGGTCTTGATGAGGTTGATAAGATTATTCTGCAAGCTACATCACTTTTGAAGAAACAGAAGAGATGAAAGTGGTTTATTCGTTAGCTAAAGTTCCAACAGGGGTTTGTTAAATGAGAGGCCTGTTATAGTCAACAGCTGCAACACCTTATTTTCACCGCTTCAGTCCTAAGAGTTCTATAGACATGGGGCGAGAAGGGAACCACCATGATGAACTAGTGTTATACGAGAGCCCAGACACATTGTGGTAGAGGAACACGCGGGCAAAGTTGTTTTGCTGAACAAAGACGATTACAACATTAGCAATTTCATTCTGGGGTTCCTGGACAATAGGATTATTGTTATCCAAGGGTTGATTCTTCCCTAATCCAGAGTGGAAGTTCACAAGTATGATCAGTCCTAATCTGGTGCCACTTACAGAACTCTTCCCTTTACGAGTCTACACAAGAAAGAACTTACTCATATTTGATATTTACTTCGCGACTATAGTAAATTACAATGGTTTGGTTAAAAACTGCAAACTTCAAACCCGTAATCTATGTAGTTGTTTCTCAGAAATGTATGAAATACAAAGTTGAGGACTGCCATTTCTTTGTTTTTGTCAACTATGTTGAGCATTTCTAAGAAAAATTGTGCTGGTGTTTCTTTGGGTTATTGAGATCTTGTTGAATTATATTAGTGTATCACTTCTTATATGAAATAGAATCTAAGTTAGATTCAAGATTCAAACTTAATGAATTCGACCAAGATTGTTAGCACTAACATCACTTTACTTTTGAAATTTAAGATTCAAATTTAATATTTTTTTAACATCGAATGTACAGAATCTGGATCCATGATTCTGATTCGAATTATTGATCGTTAAACTCCCTTTTAATAGATGAATACTTTAATTTCACAATTTAAATATTCTCTAACCCTAGCCAGCCGTTCTCTAAACAATTATGAGCATGTTTATACATATATTAAAAGACTTTGAGTAAAATTAATTATTGAACCCTTCCTAGCACCCCTTTCTAGATATACATATATATATATATATATATATTAAGCACAAAAAATATTTTTATCAGCACATTTGCAACATGCAGCACCCCAGTGTCAGAATACTACTTCCATTTGGTGGTCAAAAAGACATAATAATTGAACTATGTGATAATAACACAAGTCTAATAAATCATGCCCACACATATCACTCTTCTTTAGATATTGCAAATCATAAATAAAAAACACATTGCTTAGTAATTTAGATGGCGAAACTAGAATTTACTGTTTATGAATTTTAATAATTTCTAATATAGTAATCAAAATTATTGAATTCAATAGAATTTACAGATGATGATATTTTAATTTCGACTCTTTTTTTATTTTTTTACAAAAATTAAAAAAATAAATCTTGAATTTCGATTATAAAAAATGTATTAAGTATTAATGGTACCAATATCGAATTTCTATGCACTCCCACCCACCATCTATACAACAAAAACTTCTTTTCCTTTTAAAAAGAAAAAAAAATTCTTTAAAAAAAATTATTTTCCATACAATCATCCAAACAAGATCTGTCAGAGTCACGTGCCTTTCTCACGTGACTCCAAATCTTTACTTATTTTGTATTTCAGTGCTCCACTCTCTCAGCTTCTCTACTCTCTCCCTTTTCTTCTCCATCACCGGTAAGTCAAACACTCACTGAATCTGAAAAATTCTTAAGAGAGTTACACTTTTATCTGCTTTACCCTTTTGTAATTTTGTGTAGTTTGATGGATTTTTTGAGTTATTTTGATGATTTAGCCAAATGGGGTGTTAAAGCACATGTCTTTATATGCATGTATCAAGAATTATGTAAACTTTAGGTTTAATAGTGTTATTATAATGTTTATATGTTAATAAAAGTGACTGAGAAGTGTGAAAGTTTCATCCTTTAGGGTAATTACTAGTATGTTTTGTTTGTATTTCTGTTTTATGCTTACATTTGCTTGAAAGTGAAAAAGGGATCTACTTTTTCTGTCATTGTGTGGGAATTTTGATTTTAGACATTTTGACCTTAACTTTCATTTTTAGATACTATGGGGTTTTAGTTTTTATTTTTATTTTGTGGCTTTTGAAAATTTTACTCATCTTTTTTATTTTTTAGAGACCTAGTTGTGTTTGGTATTAAGGAAAATGTTTGTAAATTATTTCCTCGAAAAGTTTTTCAGATGTTTAGTTGTTGAGTGGAAAATATTAATTAAGGATGGATGTTATTAGCTTGTTTGACCATGTTTTTGGGAGATCTTTTATTTGAAAAAAGTGAGGTGTCTGGCCAAACTTTTGGGGGAAAATAAGAGTTTTTGAGGAGTAAGGGAAGATTTGGTTAAACACTAATTGTTGCTCAAAAGTGTTTTTTCTTAAATTTTATTAGCCAAACACAAATTGTTCCTCACCAGAAGTACTTTTCTTGGAAAACACTTTTCAAAATAAGTTGATTTTGAAGTCTGACCAAACATGTTATAATTGTGAGGATTAAATTATGATTTGTTTTGGGAATTTGATGAAATTTCTAATTTATTGAAAATAATGTTTAAGTGTTGGTGTAGCAAGGACGTGGATTAAGAGTCGTGATATTTGTTAAAAGATGATTTTTTGTATGCCGTAGGTGAATCCTTTTGATGGAATTTTTCCAATGAGAAGTGTTTCTGAATAACTTCTTTAGTGAAATACTTTCTAGGAAATTGTTTTCCTCCTTTACCATACACATGGAGAATCCCTAATTTGACTTGTTCATCAGAATAATATGCAGTTGAAAAGAATCGAATGGATACAATGGTTTCACTTAGTCAGGTCCAACTATTTTGCAGTTGAGGCATAGTTGATTGATCACTTCCACTGATTTCACTGTGATTCTTGTATTTGCCTTTTATGCCCCGATTCCTTAAAAAATGTTTAATAGCGGTAGGGTAGTTTCTGTCTGATTTTTGATAGATCGTCAAATTAGAGTTCAGCTTATACTAACAGGTAAAGTTAGATAGGAATGTGAAAATTGTGGAGTATCTCATTGAGTAACACCTTCTCTAACGTATGGACTTTGTTCTTTCTGTGAATTGCAGATCACAGGAAAGGGTCCTCAAGTCAGGCACTGAGAAAAAATGGCAAGCCAGGGAGAAGCTCACCCCTACGTTCCACATGATCTAAAATTGCCTGGTTTTGTTCCCCTATTCCTCTCACAGTCAGAAATTGTTGGTGTATATGGCATCTCATCCGTACTGGTTGTGGTGTTCATGTGGATATTCTCAGGTAATTATTCAATGATTATTGCATGACTGATTTGTTCTCCTTTCTCATCTTCTCCTTATATAGTATTTCGCTTAGTATCTTAGTGTTCATTTTTACTACTACCTATTGCTTCATTTGAGTATCTTAGTCTTCATTTTTACTACTGCCTATTGCTTCATTTGCTTTGTTAGTCTTGCTATTTTGCTGTCATTATTTTCCTTTCAATCCTGATTACACTTCTTTTAAGCTGAGGGTCTATCCGAATCGGCATCTCTACCTCACAATAGGGATAAGATCTTCTTACATCCTACCTTCCCCATATCCCACTTGTGGGACTACGATGGGTATGTTGTTGTAATTGCAGGCTGTCTTGACCATAAAAAAAAGAATCTAGTTTGATGTTAATGTCAACCCACAACATTACTGACTTGTGAATAGGATTAAAGAAGATATTGAACCCTAAAACGTCGAGTTGTACAGCTTATCCTATGCCTCAGTCAGGACTTCAAGCAATCTTGACAATTATTTCACTTTTCAATTAAGCTCATGCAACCTGTAAGTGTTAGTTTCATGTACTCAAAAGTTTAGTAGTGAATGATAAATGAGGACATAAATTACTATAATGTTGGTCTTTTCTATCTAACTCTATACTACATAATTTTTGGCTGCATTAGTGTTATAAATGTCTATATGCTAAGTCCATCTTTTTCATTCTCCATTGTGGCCCATTTTGTTTTCTAACTTCATTTCTCCATCTTCTCCTTGCTAGGATTTGTTCCTAAATTATCAAAGACTGACAGGGTACTCATGTGCTGGTGGATTTTCACGGGCCTAACCCACATGGTCCTTGAGGGCTATTTCGTTTTTACTCCAGATTTCTACCAAAAGACTAGTCCCGTTTACCTTGCTGAAGTCTGTAAGTCTCAATTTAGCAAGTCTTCTTACAATCAAGAACTGTTCATTTGTATTAGGATATGTTTCTAATTTGACCTATAAAAGTACCAACACAAACAATATATTGCAGGGAAAGAATACAGCAAAGGTGATTCAAGATACGTAGGCCGAGATGCTGCAGTTGTTAGTGTTGAAGGGGTCACAGCTGTCATAGAGGGGCCAGCGTGCCTTCTTGCAGTGTAAGTATCATTCTCAAGTGATATTAACTTGTCATGCACCTTGAGACTGTCAGAATCAATGTGCTTATCCTAAGGGGTTGCTTGTTCACATTCTACTTTTGCATGAACTTATAATGTACCAAATGTTATGCGGGAAATAACAATGAAGGGCTCTATTGCAGTGATCATTAATTATACAAGGAATAACTTAACTAATAACAATATACAGGGAATATAATTTTGATTAAGTAATAATACAAGGAATATAATGTAACAGTTACTTATTTTAAGGGTATCTCTCTCCTCGAATATGTTATCTTCGTAATGCTAATCCACTATTCTTATTCCACACTTTATCCCGCATAAAATAACATGTTTCTTTCTCGTGATTTAATGTCAGTATTTTTTTATAGCGCCAACCAACACTACATTAGATTATTGGGGATTTAATTATGCGGATTGTTTTCCTTGGATATCTGTGGTGGTTGAGTCAACTTGCATGCATCTCTAGTAATTTCACGTGGTACCTGCTACCTCTCAGTAGCTCATGTACCATGTAACTCTGTCCACCAAGGCTTTGGAAAGTTAGAAAGAAATTTCTTGCCTCTGCTTCAACCAAATATTGTATGCTGGGATCATTTTGACTAAATCCTTTCAACCAGACTATTAGTAGAAGTATATGGACAGGGCAGGGACATGTTTACAAGTTTGCTTCTATAAACCTCACTGTGGTTTTGGCATTGGCAGGTATGCTATAGCTACTAAGAAGGCATACAGGCACGTACTTCAACTATCCATTTGTTTGGGGCAGCTCTATGGCACGGCTATATACTTCATAACAGCTCTTTTGGAAGGCGATAATTTTTCTACAAGCCCCTTCTATTACTACGCTTACTATGTCTTTGCAAATCATTTCTGGGTTTGGATACCAAGTCTCATAGTGATCCACTGCTGGAAGAAAATATGTGCTGCTGTCCGCGTCCACGAGCAGAAGACCAAGACCCGCTGAGGTGATTCTAAGCATAGACATCCAAAAGCCTCAACTGAATAACATTGTCACATTTCTATTTTTTTTGTATGGTTGTTGAGTTTAATTGTCTGCATTAGAAACAATACTGGATTATTATCTCTGTTCTTGAAATCTGCTCATTCCTGCTGGAAAAAATGTCATTCTATATCTATGTTCTCCGTCTATATTTCTTAGTTCAGCGTCTTGTATACTAACACTACCAGGAGATATAAAATGGCATGATGACAATGAAATTCTGCATTTCCGCAACTTTCAACAACAAATAAAATCTGAAGATTATTACTTAAAACAGCCTCCCTAACTCCACGAGATACTGGGAGTTCATTGGATATGTTGTTGTTGTATTACTTAAAAATCACTGCACTACGCATTGATGTGATAAATTAACTGTAGATTACTACTATAGAGAAGAACAATGTACACTTGAAACAAGTTTTATAAAGAGTTCACGTGATCTTTCAGTTCAAAGTTTGCGTTAGTCTTATTCAATGAATGTAATTGTGTATCTTTTCCACTAAAATGAGTGGCTAAACCTCATTAGCAAGGGTCGTGGAATCCATGATGACTTGACCTGACCTAAACAAAGGATGTTTACGAAATAAAACATGTATTATGATTGTATACGTTATGAGTGAGTTCATTTTAATTTGATTTCTAATAGTTACAAACATTAGAAGAGGAAAGGATCAAAATAGTCTCTTTTGTTTGGGTTAAGGCCCAAAGTGATTCTTAAATTTTTACATGGAGCACTAATAGTTCCTCGTGTTTGTAATATTTGATGCACTTTTGGTCCTTCTCCAAAAAATTTACCTACTTTTTAGCATCGATTTTATTCATAAACTATGCATGAGATATTCAATCGTCATTTTATTCATTAAGTAGAAATAACAACTCCATATGAAAGAATGTGAGAAGAAAAACACTTTGTTTTGTGCAGTAGAAATCGTATTGCAGGTAAATATACATTGATGATGCAAAAAATTATTACATTATTAGTGTATAAAATTTAAATACAAAAAAGAAAACATAGAATATAAGTGTATATATGTTACACGAAAATGAATATCATTCTAAACATATATAATTTCACTTCTAGAGATTAAGGGAAATTGATAAGACGGCAGCTAGTACAAACCAACCTAAAAAGAAATATCCCACTAATATTGTTGGTTCCACATCTTCTGGCTCCTGTAATTATATGTTTATATACAATTAAAAAACGTAAATATTGATGAAAATGTTATTTTACTTATTTTATAGTGCTTGATAATATTTTTATCGCTTTTAAAGTGATGTTTTTGATATAATAACAATTAATTGAGTGATGAATTAGTACCTGAGGAGGAGGAGTCCCCGTAGAGGGCGGAGTTGGATCAACTTCAAATGGCCATTTGTAATCATCTGGTGCTTCACTCCTTACCAAACTCCAATCATACAGCCTTCTCTCCTCTGGTGTTGACAAAATTGAATATGATTCCTATGTATGATGTCAAAATGGAATAAATTAATCTCTAAAACTTTCTTTATTAATAATAAAAAATGAAATGAAATGAATACTTTTAGGAGTTGAAGCTTCTTGTTAAGCTCTTCTTCTACCAATCCTTCGTTCGTAATTTCTTCAATCTTTTTCTTGTACGCTACTGGAACCTATATATATATATTGTACGAACACAAAGAACAAACATCAAACACTTTAATCCAAATTGCCGTAACAATTCAGACCTTTTTACCTCTGCATTATTTAATAGTGTATTTTAAAGGTATATATATGTTTACATACGCATCAAAAAAAAAATATTGATAAAGTTTGGTATGTTAACAACAGTTTCGACCAAAATTGATCCTTTTCCCTTTCTTTTTCATCTGTGGGATGGGTGGAAAAAAGTTAAAAGAGAGGTAGTGTGGACCTCAGCATATGAACATTTTCTTGAAAGTCCTAGTATTCCATAGTGATTTATATCTGTTATTGCTGCATTCTAAAATGAAACTTATTAGTCAAATGAAGGAGGACACAAAAAGGTAAAATCATAGTCAAAATCGAATTTAAAATCTTGAAAAGAAAGAAAAAAGACAGATCTGCAGAGTTACCTATGCCAAGAAGAGCTTTTTCAACATTAAGAGCAGAGATAATAGAAGGGGGAATTTCAACGGGTGAGGTTTCATCTGTGTCTATCGCTGAGGCTGTGTCGCTGCTACTGGAGTTTCCAACTATTAACGCCAATTTTCTGCTCTGTTTTCGAAAATCTATAAAACAAGTTACATTGTTGGAGGCTATGTAATTCTGAGTTGTAATTGTTGGGAATTTTTGGGTGTAAATGTTGGGAGTTGCAGCCATCCTGTATATCTTCTTCTCTATATTTCTTTTCCTTTCTTCTTAACAATTTAGATTTTAAAAAAACAAAGTATGGGCAATTCAGCACCATTCATTACCAATCTATTACACTATTGAATAATACAATATTAGGCATTGCACAAAACATATAGACAACAATGTCGTTGTAGTATAGTGGTAAGTATTCCCGCCTGTCACGCGGGTGACCCGGGTTCGATCCCCGGCAACGGCGTTTATATTTTTTTTTAATGAAAGTTCAGGTAGCCAACCAGTTAAGCTCTTGTCGGTTGCGGATGAAAGTTGTTCGTTTTTTTTTGTCCACCAATATATATCTCTGTTTATTACTTCCAACAGTATCCCTAACTCCACGAGATAGTGATAAGATCTGTACACTTGGGATTTCAGTGGATATGATCGTAGTATTACTTAAAAATCATTGTACTATGCATTGATGTGATAAATTAACTATATATATATGTTACATATCCATATGATTTTCCAAGGTGGACTTTCCTGTCCATAACCTAAACAAATATTACAAAAGATTGAAATAATAGATCCCCTTACAAAGATATGAAGCTCCTGTGAGGTAGCAAATGTTTGATTGAATAGTTGAAGTGTACACAAACTAATCCAGAGACGGCTGTTATTAGAAAACAAAATAGGATTTGATAGAACAAAAATGATCAAGCAGTCCTGTTTTCATGGGGGTGGACGTTTGCGTGGATAAATGCATACCATGCAGCAGAAATATACACCAAAAGACCCGACGAAACGAGGATTATGAGGAAAGTAACTGATATAATAGTAGATTTAGCTCCACAGTATAGCATCCCAGTCTTGATCTCAACCACATTCAACATAGAAACCATGAGAAACAAGCAGCCCATAACAGAGGAGATAGCTGTCATCAACATTCCTGCTCTAAGGAGTGTTGCACTGACAATGTCACTGAAACCATGAGACAGATCTTCGCTATACAGAAGATGGAGGGAGAGTTTTATGGCCAGTGCTATTAGTGATGAGAAGAGAAAGAAACTGAACGAAAGCACCTCGAAGATTACTAGTTGTTTTACAGTTAGAATCCCTGGCTGACAACGTTTGCTACTGTTGAGGCTCTTTTGCCCTGGAGATGCTAGAGATAGCCCCACAAAAATGGCAATGGTAAAAAGTGAGTTCACATTTATGACTCCGTCTAGAGCTGTCACGGCCACACTGTGCTTGCCTCTGTTGTCTGAGTTTCTGCCAAATCGCAACAGCAAGATTATTTCAAAAATGAACAAAATTCTCTCACCAACAAGGTGAAAGGTCAGGTAATCAACCAACTGAGCTACTAAAATTCTCCGGATTATGCATTTAGGTTATGTATTTTTCCAACTATAAAACTTCGTGACAATTCAAAACAAAGCCAGCCAACCATTCTAAACATGTACATAACCAGCAAGCTAACACATTAAAAATGCCTAAAAATACAAAGGAATTCAAACTATACATACACTAGCAGTTCTATCACTCCAATTTAACTGATTATAGCTCGCGATTTTTTCTTGATTACCAGCAAACATTTGTTATGAAAAACATAAATCATATAAACATTCTTTACAATAACTTTAAAATGTAAGCTACATACTCTGAAGGTGCCATGGCTGTTCTCTAAAGCTGAAAGGAGTAGTTATGTATTTGTTTTCTATGAATGTTTACGGTGACTGAAAAAACTAATCTACAGCCTGGAGGTTTTATAAATGTGTATCCTCAATTTGGAGGTAAAGTATTTTAATGCATGATTTGCATGTAGAGAGAGAGAGAAATATTTTGTTTAACTGTTCATTTTTCGTATTTGCATACTTGAAAAAAGCTATGATAGAATTTGAGTAGAGTGAGTTACAATTAAAGATAATATTCTAAAGAAAAGGGAAAACATCTGCATTTTTTAAGACTTCAATCGTTCTTTATAAATTTTTTTAGTTATATGACTACCCTTTAGAAGATACTTTTGCTGTTTTGCATAAAGAGTTGGGAAATTGATGATATAAAACTAAGGGTGTTAATCGTTCTGTTTCGATTATTCTAGTATGTGTTGAGTCCAGACCATAACTAGTAAAAATCAGACTCATACTGACTTGGAAAATGTAAGAATTTTATATACAGTCAAGTCATTGAAAGAGAACTACAAGTTATAAAGAATAAGACAAGTAACTCGTTACAACGAGTTAAATTGCAGTCCTCCAAGAGCTTAGTAGTTCAATATACAATTTAACATTGATAATGTATAGTTACATCAATTAACGAAATTTACTTAACAAAGTAAGGAAGATCAAGGACATAAAGGAGGAAATAAGCCCAAGTGACACCAGAAATTCCACCAAAAAAGAATCCACCAGTGAATTTAGCCCATCCATCTGCAGTTTGCAGTTGATCTGGTACTTTTTTCCTGCCAGTCAATGTTAGTGCTGGTGCTGTTGATGGATCTCCTTCTTTGAATGATGAAATTCCATAAATTGTCAAACACATACTAAGGATCACAACAAGTCCTGCTGCTGCCAATGAACCAGCTCCCCCTGCAACAATATTTTCGACACACAAATTAGATATATATCGTGTATGCATAAACAGTACAATAAGTTGAGTTGCAGAACTGTTTTGTAAATGACCTTGTTAGACCAAATTTTGTAGATGTTAGATGACTGTTATCTATTGGCAAAACTCTAAAAAACTAGGGACATCTACAGTGTGAATCAACCGCGAGTTATAAAGATTAAACTCATCAAGTTAAAATTCTATAGTCGGATTTTACCTGCATAGGCTGTGTTTCTTAACGGACCAGCCTTAACGAATGGGCCAACTAGTAAGAATCCATGGGCCAGGCCCACTTCTACTCCCCGGAGAAGTGGGTTCACCGCGGTCCGATAGGCAGGCAAGTTGGAGAGATACCATGCAATCAATGGACTTGAGGTGACTGGAGTTTCAAGACTTCCAATGAAAGGGTCACCATTAAGGGGCTGAACCACTTGGAAAGTAGGCTGCAGAATCAAGAAAAACAACACAAAACAAACCAAAATTTGTAAGAATTTTTTTTTCTTATAAGATAAGCTTTAGGTATGACATTTGAGTATTGATTTTCAGATTCATTGATCTTTCTGTCACTACCCAAAGAATTAAATTACTGAATTTCCTCAACACAAGAGAAACTTTTTATATAATGGCAAAAGGTGATTAAAAAAAGTTAGTTCCATGTATAGTTGTGCTTGCCTTCACTTAGAAACTCTACGCCCCCAATTAGATTCACGCATACTCTCGAAACTTGAATTTACATTGCGAGATTGAAATCCAAGTGTGACACTTTATTATCTTTCAAGATTTCTCTTTAGAACTTTTAGCTCCACAATTTATCTAAATAAAAAAAACAGAAATCCAAACTATAGGTGATTTTTTCTCATTTGTCAACCCTTAGTGGACAGAATTACTCAATAGATCAGAAATTTTAAATTTATGAGTTCTGAATAAATTATTGAACATATTAAGTGAATGTTTTTAACACAAATATAAAATCTACCGATTTGACCCCCTGTTGAGGCAGTACAAATTGATCTAAACATCATAATTATCTCCAAAAAAAGTAATCAAATTCAAGAACATGATAATAAGAAGAGTGATGATTACTTTATCAGCTTGGACAGCCTTGACGGTGAAGCAAGACTTTCTTGTTGAAGGGAAAATCTTTAAAGGTGCACCAGTAATGCCTTTGGGAGTGACAAGGCCGAGGCCTTTGGTTAAAGACGAAGCAAAGCTGCTCTTCAACTGGCTAGCCATTGTGGATGCTGCAGTAGCCATTTTGGAAAAGTATTGTTTGGCAGTACTGCTGTTTGTTCGATCAGAATATAACAAAAGATGCAGACAAATCCTGTTAATGACTGGCAAAGAAAATCTTTTGGGTTTACAGATTTTGGTGGTTCTTAGGGTGGATCAAACTCTTACGTGGGAGCTTCTTATTGGTTAGTTTTAAAACATTATCTCTTATCCAAACTGCATTGGTCAAGAATGGATCATTCATAGCTTACTTGATTTTTGTATAAAGAAAACAGGGAAAGAAAGTCCTGTTTACATCCTTCACGACGGTGGCCCAGTGGTTTGGGCATGAGACTTTCAGATAGGAGTCTCAAGTTTAAAACCCCTTCCCAGCGAAAGCAAGGAGTTTGTTTTCTAGGTCAAGTTTGCCACATCAGGCCTGTTTAGTGCAGGTTACGTTTTTTTTTTGTGATTTGCAAGGCACCCAAAAAGTAGCAGTAGTGGCTGTTCTTGAAAACAGAAAAGTCCCTATTTACACCAAATTGACTTAATAATTTTACATTATAAGAACACAAATTAAATTGGAAAGGGATTAAGTAATTTTGGTATGCTTAATAGTTGAGTTGCGCGAATCAGCTTATAGTCGAATAATTTTTGTTAACATGAGAATCAATACGATTGTTTCTTCAGCAATTTAATAGAGTTCAGAGTCTAAATGACAACTTTTTTCATCAATAATTTAACAAAATCGAAACAGACCAAAAGGGTAAAGGCGTGACCCCTCACACGCCTTATTAACTTTTTTTATTGAATGACGTGTGAGAATCACGCCTTGGTTCCCACACCTTTCCCTAAACGGGTGAGGAGCATAGTTGAAACAGTTTGCTAATGGCAGACGCATTTTGTTATGTTTCAAATAGTTTTGAGGCATTTTTGAACCAAAAACCAAATGGATGATATTTCATTTCCAATAGTTCGAAGGTGACCATTTATGGTTGATTAAATTAAAACAATTTATATGTAAGACATGTATCTTATATTTGGTTCCATTTTTGACAAGCATATAAACCACTTTCAAGCCAAATTTGTATTTCGTGAACAGCTATCCATTTAGTCTTTAGACTAAACAATCCAACTTGAACTGGTTGATTTTGAGAAACCAACTTCTTCTTCTTTTTTGATAACCGTGATGTCTGGACCAACTTTCACATAGATGAAAAGAATCATCGGAGATTTGAACGTGAGACCTCATGACTCTCAACCACTTCATAGACCATTAAACCACGCCCTTCAGCCCTTGAGTGCTAGATATCACTTCTTTTTTATATAACCAAGATTAGCCACCTAACACATTACACATTATGCATTGCGCGATTACCACTAAACTAGAGCCTGAGGCCAGAATTAGAATCAAGAACAAAATGTGCGGATATGCTAGTAAAAATTCATTACATTCCCCCAAGAGATCAAGCGGTTCGATATACAACTTTGATTCATAATAGTTGCATCAATTAATGAAATTTACTTAACAAAGTAAGGAAGATCAAGGACATATAGGAGGAAATAAGCCCAAGTGACACCAGAAATTCCACCAAAAAAGAATCCACCAGTGAATTTAGCCCATCCATCTGCAGTTTGCAATTGATCTGGTACTTTTTTCCTGCCAGTCAATGTCAATGCTGGTGCTGTTGATGGATCTCCTTCTTTGAATGATGAAATTCCATAAATTGTCAAACACATGCTAAGGATCACCACAAGTCCTGCTGCTGCCAATGAACCAGCTCCCCCTGCATACAATACGCCGGGTTCATCATCTATTATATGTACAAAAAAAATTGGACCATAGTGTAATTTTTCGACAAATGAGGTTCAATTGAATTCTCTTTCATACTCCCCTTCCTTGTTAGTTAACAGTTCTGTAGGTAACTATAAATTGGACTTTACCTGCATAAGCTGTGTTTCTTAATGGACCAGCTTTTACAAAAGGCCCAACTAGTAAGAATCCATGGGCCAGGCCCACTTCTACTCCCCGGAGAAGCGGGTTCACCGCGGTCCGGTAGGCAGGCAAGTTGGATAGGTACCATGCAATCAATGGGCTTGAGGTGACTGGAGTTTCAAGACTTCCAATGAAAGGGTCACCATTCAGTGGCTGAATCACTTGGAAAGTAGGCTGCAGAAACAAAGAAGATCAGGACATGAATTAACCATATACATGATTCGAAGAGGGTTCAATTGAATCTAATTTATAGAAAAGAAAATTGAAATTGTATATGTTTGTATTTCATATGTGACATTTTTATCATTTTCGAAAAACACTGAGAAAATATTGAAATTCAAGAACATGATATAATAAGAAGAGTGATGATTACTTTATCAGCTTGGACAGCCTTGATGGTGAAGCAAGACTTTCTTGTTGAAGGGAAAATCTTGAAAGGCGCACCAGAAATGCCTTTGGGAGTAACAAGGCCGTGACCTCTGGTTAAAGACGAAGTAAAACTGCTCTTCAACTGGCTAGCCATTGGGGAAGCTGCAGTAGCCATTTTGCAAATATTGTTACACTTAGGTCAGACAGGAATATAACTAAGATTCAAACATGAACATGAGGATTTTTTGGTGGCAGACAAATTTTGTGGTTCTGAAGGTGGATGACTCTTACGTGGGAGCTTGTGATTGGTTGTAAAATAATAAAACGTTATCCCTTATCCATACCTCATTGGTTAAAAATGCATGATTCCTATGGACCTTTATTTTTTCTCATTTTTGTAAGTTTTAAAATTTTAATGTTGAGAATCCATTTTTTACGTTAATAAATTAATAATAACCCACAGTAACTAAATGAAAAAAATGAAGTCGTGAACTCATATCAACTTTGTTGAGAAGGGAGTGGCAATGATAATTGAATTCCGTCTCTTCTATTACATTTACGTTACATTACAGAGAACACTGCACCCGAACTGACTATCACGGACGAGAACAAGTTCGACTTCTCTTTGTTTCTCTATATTGGTACACACTAGCAAGTATACA